GAAAATGTGTGATAAATTAATTCTTTCACTGTGTGTACTTCTGATTCATGTAAAGAAACCTCAATGAAAAAGGCGATTCAAGACCAATTTCAGACACAGCTATAAAACACAATTACAGTCTATAACTTGCACAGTGTCCTCAAGTATCTTCAATTTAAATAACAAGGCTATAGCTTCTTGTCCTTCTATATCCTAAGCTAGAGTGAGAGGAGAAGAGCGGGGGAGTAAAAAAGTATTTCTGATTCTGTCAGTCTCACGATTTCATTGTTACCTTCAATACAAGAGAACTCAAGTTGAAGCTGAAAAAAGACTCTTGCGCTTCTATAAAAAAAGAAAATGTTAGATAATTCCTTGTCAAGGCCGAAACATTCATTCCAAAGAACTCATCTGCATCATGTGATGCTTTTCTCCATGTCATGCCTGTGATTCTTGTGGCAGTGTCACTAAATCTACAACTTTCTTTACTTCTGTGACTGCTGAAGCACGTTTTATAGGACAGCTTGTCTTACCCAGTTCAGCTAGCGCACCACACACACTGCAAGATGGGCAAAGCAACTTGAAAAGTGTTGGCCATCTTAGTGCCATCAGAAAACAAGATATGAACTTCCCTGTAGCCTGACATTTTCAAGAGGCTGTTCATCCCACGTCTGCTATGTCTTTTGTTATTATTGAACAGATTTATCAGTCTAGAATGCGGACAGACGCCTGTGACACATCGAACCTAGATGGATTATTTTTATCTTAATATTACATCCCAGTGAAGAGGTGTTACTGTTTTGCTTCCTTTAATCTATTTATTATAATATTATTACAGTTTTGAGACACAAAACATGTCCCATTTATCTTATCACACAGCTCCTGTTGAACAGGGATCTGGGTCTGATCTTAAAAATAAACAAACACACCTTCAGATTGGCTCATTTTAAATGGTTTGCTTGTAAGGTGGTTTGTGCATAAGAAGCAGTAATTACACATGCAATTTGTGAGAGATTGTTCTGTGTTATGAAGGCAGCAGGAGACGTATATTAAAAATGTAATAAATAACTTGTAGTGTCTGGAGTCTCCATTTATTGGATTGCAGTCTTTTTTAGAAGAGCTTCCGTAAAACATTAATAACTACTGCTTCATATGGGACCAAAGAACGGAAGGGGTCTCTGACATCAAAACAATAACAAAAGTTGTGGTTTGATGACATTGTTAAGTAGCATGGGAGTTGCTGTCTTCAACACCATCACTTTCATTACAGTCAGCTAGGGTTCCTTCAGTGTACATCGTTCAGGAGGTTTTTACCAGGAGCAGAATTATCCGCAGAGGTCTCCTCCTCTCCAAAACAAATGAAACAGGTAAATAAAACATCTAAAAACACTGAATAAAGCAGTTTCACGTTAAAAATCAGTGAGCTACTCTGAGCCAAATTATCTACAGAGGTCTCCTCTTCAAATCAGAAGGACTTAAAGACAGAAACATTGAATAAAGCATCAGACGCTATGATCCATAGCTGCCATTTGCTCAGCTTGTCCAGGCGTCCGATGACTAAAATCCTTCTTCTTGTTAAAATATCTAGTTAAAAAAAACCAAGATCTAAAAGGTGTATTGTAAAAATGTGTCTTAACACAAGATAAAGCATCAATTTACGACAGATTCTGGAAAACAAACAACGCTGACGCCTGCGTAAAGGGGATATGATAGCACTGACAAGCAACCAAATAAAACGCACCGTTACCTTGATTAAAATTACAGACTTCTCTGTGTCCCCGCGACCCTGTACGCAGGATAAGCAGTTGACGATGGATGGACCTCTCTGTGTTTGACAATTGCTGGAAACACGTGGGATAATGTAAGTAAATAACTCAAGATAATTCAAGTCATTTTTTGGATTTTTTTTCACTTATTACTCATTTAAAAAGTTATCAGGCCTACTTTACTATTTAAAAGTAAATAGTCACATTACTCGTTACGTTACAATTACTTTCAACCACCGCAACCCATCCATAAAAGTGATGGTTAACCTGTTCAGCAGCGCATTTTAGAAATGAATCCACTTTACTGGAACAATAATTAACCTGAGGAGTCAACAACCAGCCGAACTGAAAACACTGCAGCCTCTCAGACCAGATGATGCTGTATCATATAGGCTATGGATATAGGCTATTTAAAAATAATAAAAAACAAAGCAGGTCCCTCCTGACATTTTAACTAATCACGTATTCATAACAGCAGCAATGAGTATGATTTTTATGAAACATTTTGAACTAAGGTTTCTGTTTTGCACATGCGTTTATAAGAGAAGCAGGCTATAAGTAGGCAGTGCTTTTACAAAACACAAAACATTGTTGAATATGGGATTCCCAAGCCTTGTGTTTCCCTCCGTTTACCCTCCCGTCCGTCCCTGTCTGTCAGTTTGTCTGGTGTGTGTGTGTTTGTGTGGGCGCAACGTCGGTCTCTCCCTCTCCCCCCTGGAACGGCTCACACCTGAAGCTGATTCCAATAATCAACTCCTCCAGATCGTCCGCTCACCTCAGTGGTAACAAGCGCTACGGCCAACTAGTTCCGAACTAGAAGAGTTAAAATAATCTGTTTTCTGATTCCTCGCTTAATACTTGTGTTTTCTTGCCTTCACCCTAGGAACCGCTCAGGCTGTGGAGCTGCCCCGCCCAACCCGAACTGTGTGCAGAGACAATCATCCTCCAGGAACCTTAAATATATATGAAATTTTTATATTTTATGACCTTTTATGACCGTAACTCACTATTTATTCCCATCATAAATTGTTAAGTTTTACTTTTATGTTATATGTTATATGTTTTAACGTCTGCAACCTTGTTGATTGTGCTGCTGCCTGTCCCGGCCAGGACACTCTTGGAAAAGAGATTTTTAATCTCAATGAGTTTTTCGTTCTGGTTAAATAAAGGTAAATAAGGAGTCCTCCTTAGACAACACAAACAACAGATCCGGACCGTCAAGGAGGACAGGCAAGCTATGAGTGCACAAATATCCCAATTGACTGAACAAGTAACTGCTCTGACTCATTTGATTCCACCAGCCCAGGCAATCCCAGCGGCCACACATCTCATGCCTCCGGTACAGACTGAGTCTTATGTTCGGGACCCAGAACCCTTCTCCGGAGATTTTGCCAGGTGCCGGGGATTTTTGTTGCATGGTGTTCATGCAGCGCCTGCAAACCTTCGCTTCTGAGCAATCTAAGGTACGATACATTTTGTGAGTTTTGAGAGGGAGGGCGTTGAAGTGGGCTGAAGGAGTTAATTCAACCCAACCAGTCTCTGCTTTGACCTTGCCTGAGCTTGAAGTTAGACTGAGAGAAGTATTCGACCACTCTGATCACTGTGGGGATGCTGCTAGGTGACTGCTGGACCTCCAGCAGGGGTCCCGACTCATTGAAAGCTGGCTTAATTCGCCCCCCCTCCTCTCCTGTAGGGGCAGGGTTTTTCTTTGTAGAGAAGAAAGATAATACATTACGCCCCTGTATGGATTTCCATGGTCTCAACCATATCACTGTGAAGAACAGCTACCACCTTCCCCTGATTAATTCTGCGGTAAAACCCCTTAAGGATGCCACAATCTTCACTAAATTGGACCTCCGCAACGCTTATCAACTGATTCGATAAAAGAAGGGGATGAGTGGAAAACAGCATTCAATACTCCCCTCGTCCAACTCCAATGTCATTGCCTGGAGGGATCCGAGCAGCCATTTACTGTGTGGACAGATCATAAAATTTGGCTTACATTCAAGCAGCCAAGAGACTTAACTCCCGTCAAGCCCGCTGGGCGCTGTTTTTTGGACGCTTTAACTTGTGCTTACTTACAGACCCAGCTCCAAAAACACAAAACCAGATGCTCTGTCCCGCATGCGCCACACCCAGGAGGATACCCCCAGCCCCGGAGCAATCCTTCCATCCAGCTGCGTGGTGGTGGCCGTCTCCTGGGAGATCAAGTCCATCGTCAAGACAGCCCCCGGAGACACAACCAGATCCAGGTAATGGACCTGTTAATCGTTTATTTGTTCCAGACTCTGTCCGAGTCTGTAAATTTTCTGGGTTTCGTGTTTGAAAGCGGGCTGATGAAGAAAGACCCAGCTAAGATAAGAGCAGCCGCAGAGTGGCCTGTCCCCAGCACGTGCAAACAACTCCAACGTTTCTTAGGTTTTGCCAACTTTTACACCCACTTTATCTGGGATCATAGTAAAGTTGCCACCTCTCTTACGCAGCTCACGTTGAGATTGTCCGTACGTCCTCGATGGCTTCAGAGAGTTGTGTGGAGAGGGCCAGGCAGAGCGGGAGATTGAAATTTATCTTCACTCAAGCTTCTCAGCAGCTAGTTTCCATGCACATCCAGTTCCAGTGTTGTACTGTGACCAAGTTAGCATAGCATAGCCCTGATCGATCCGAACTCCATACAGAAAGCGTACATTTTAGAAGTTGTTGTCCTGCTGTCTTGCTGACAGACCTGACAAAGCATGAATTCATATGTTTAAAAAATCTGCATCATACTGTAGTTACTTCTGCATCAGTTTAATCTGTTTATTGCTGTTTAATCACAGCAAAATGTTTACTTTGGGTTCATACAGCTGTAGTAATGGCGAGTTGTGTTTATTCGCGTTATCGCATTGTGTGGGAACACTTGCAACGCAGTTGTCCAGCGATGAAACTTCTGCAAGTAAAGCGTTGCGTGGATTAAATTTGCTTTTGGTCTGAATGCCGCATTGATGTACCTAATAAAGAGTGTAGCTGTCGGATATGTATATGTGTAAATGTAGTGGTGTAAAAAGTAAATATTTTCCTCTGAAATAAAGTAAAAGTAGATCAAGTTTTTACTTAAGTACGGTGTTTTAGTAAATGTACTTAGTTTCAACCACTTTGTTAAGTGGGACTTGTAGTACATTAAACTGTTCACACAGTAGGCTAAGTGGTAACAAACTATGTAGACATGGCACTCTCCAAGCACAGAAGAGCATCACTGCTTCATGTCTTCTGTAGACAAACCTGTTGTCGGTCCAGTGCGATGGCAGTGAGTGTGAGTGTCGAGACGTGCAGGGAGCAGTACTGTACAAAGCGACTGATGTGACACATTGTCCTCCCAAACACCCAGGTGCTGTTCACGAATCGGACCTGAAGGAACACAGACAAACACACACAGTACATTATGTACACCTGTCATTTTACCAACCTCACCCATCCATCAAAACAAGATAGTAACTGACAATGTCCTGTTCAGGCATGTGATGACTGAGCATTAAAACAAATGATCAAGCACTCATGAAGATGTGTGTCTCTAACTTATTAACCTTTGCTTTTAAGGTTTTTGTTTCAAAGTAAGCCCAAGAAAGAGAGAGAGAGAGAGAGAGAGAGAGAGAGATTGCCCCCTCTTTGTACAAATGGAGCAGTCCTTTGGTGTCAACAGTCATTACTACATTATGTTATTATAGGATAGGCCTACTTACAGCTGGGGTCGGCAGTTTATTTAATTTCAAATTTGTTATAGGCCTATTTGTTGAAATTCTCTTTACATTCTGATCGCAGTCAATAAATCAAATGTTCTGACACAGCGAAAGAAGTCTTATATCTGTGGCTGTTGCAGGACTGCAAAAAGCACAGCCTGCTCTACCTGCTTGTCCAGCGTTATTGTTTCCCCCACCATTTTCAACAACTTGGGGTTATGCAGTCAGAGGCAGAGGAGGAGGCTTGACGCAAAGCTCAAATGAGATCTGTCGAAAATCTAATGGGTAAAAACTAACGTAGCTTTGAGGGGAGGGTTGTTGAGATGGGGTAGGATTTTTTCAGTTGGATAACATCTAGCTGTCTGCACTTTTCGACCAAAAGTACCCGGGACTTTTAAGTCCCCAGATCTCTTTTCAAGGAACTAAAAGGTTCCTTCACCCCACTGTTGTGTGCGTTTCCATGGTGGTCTAAACACCTGTGAAGAAATTAACCAGCTGACATAGGATGTAGGCTTGGCTATACACAGCGATACACAGGCATCATTATTTGTTACCACGATCCATGAGCAACATTTATAAATGAACATCAGATTTGACTGGAATATAATGAAAAACTATAGGCTTAGCTTGACCATTAAAGCAGCTTTTTTTTGTGGGAGCTATAATGAGGAGACACGCGATAAAGTTCGTTACATATTTAATAACAAAATGGATAAAACCATAAAGTTCTTAAAATAACTCCAGCACAGAGAAAGCAGCACAAAAATAAAATCACGACAGTTTGGAAGGTTATTACAACATTTCCAGCCAACAAGAGCTGCAGATCAGCTGGATCAGCACATCTCTGTGTCCGCCGTCTAAATCCGAAACCAAAAGTCGAAATCAAAAACTAAAAGTTGAAGTCGAAAATGAATTTGGTATTTAGGATTGGGCATTTGGTATTTAGGATTGGGGATTTAGTCATTTAGCCATTTAGGTTTGGGGATTTAGGATTGGGAATTTGGGGATTTAGGATTGGGGATTTGGGGATTGATTTGTGTATGCAAATAAGGAGGCGTGGCCCAAAGGCTACAGGGAGGGTTTGGAAGGGCTGAGGCGCAGAGGCACTTTATGGACTGCAGGGGGGCTTTGACTGCCAGCACACTGCCATGAAAGCAAGCAGAGGAAGTGAGCAGGGCCGGAGGGCGGACTATCATTTATAATACCATAACTTAAAGTGTACAGCATTTCTGTCCATGTGGCCTCACACACAAAGTCAACAGTGAAAAGAATGCTATCCATCTGACGAGAAAGCTATATTAGGATAACTGTTGCTGACATGCATGAGTTACGTTACTGTTGGTACATGCACATTTTAAATGTGGCTATTAACCCTGCAGAGTGCTGTGTGTATAAACTGTAAAGATAAGGTGTAGAAGCTGTGTTTCTGGGTAATAGCACCATGCTGGGCAGGTGACAGGTGTGTGTTTACAGTGTTTGTGTGCTCTGAAAAACATAACAGCGCAGCTATAAAGTCTCAGCCGGCAGACCTAGTATGGTATTATTACTCCACACATATGGATGTAACGTTAAGGCCTGATAGACATCCGCTAATCAGAAACAGAGGACACTTCCTGCATCACTGCCGATGTCATTTGACCAGGGAGTGAATGGTGATTAATGCGATTGTCATCAGTTTTTTCCTACTGTTTGTTTTTGCACCATGCTCAGCTACATCTACACACCTGCACTGGGTTGCACTAGCTCTGTATTATGTGAGGTTAATGGGTTCATAGGTTCATAACACAGGCACCCCCTTACATATTGTTTAGAGTGTCAGTGTGTTTCTTCATGTATTGTTTTGTGATACTTTTACTTTTTGGTATTGTTTAATTATGTATTGTGCTCCAGTGTCATGTACACAAGCCACAAGCCAAATGTTTTCCTTTATTGGTATACTGTTAGTGAGTTATGTGAGAAGCCTCAACATAGCGTGCATTTCTGTAACTTAACATGAGTCTGAACTGACCATGCTGATAACAATGTTTTGATCTGTTTATGTATGCTGCAGATTTTAGTAAACATATTCAAAGCCACACTGAGTTTTTATTAAGATGTGCAACAATTACTTCTCCCCTAAGTTAGGGCATAAACTCGACACCAGAGATGCTCACATGTCTTTGAGCTAGAGTCCAAGTCAAGTCTCAAGTCTCTCGTGGTTATTACGAATGTTGTATCACCTCCTGCGTTCAATCCAGGTTGCTAATGAAACTGCATGGCTATAAGGAATTCTGTAACTGTAACCTGCTTTTCATTTACAGAGCACAACCATGTAATGTACAATGCAATTATTGATGGTTTATTAAATACTGTAAGTCAAAACACTCCCCAGACTCTTATACCCAGTGTAACATTAACTAAATAAAACTGTAAAGTTACACGGTCAACAATAAAGCTGTAACCTGTTTTTAACTTACAGAGCACAACCATGTAATGTACAATGCAATTATGGACTGTTTATTAAATACTGTAAGTCAACACACTCCCCAGACTTTTAAACCCAGTGTAACGTTAACTAAATAAAACTGTGACGTTGCATAATCAACAATAAACCTGTCTATTTTTAACTTAACAAAGCACAACAATGCAGCCTACAATGCGTCTACAATTAATGACAACTTATAAACTACTGTAAGTCAACAAACCCTGTTGATTTTCAAACCCAGTCTAAAGCTAACTAAATAAAACTGTTAAGTCAAATGGTCAACATGATCAACAATAAAACTGTAACCTCTTTCCAGCCAACGGCAATAATTAATTAAGGTGGTGGCATAGTCTGTATGGGTGATGGCAGCCAGCGGGATGTAAATACGTTAATCGACTACCACAAGTTTGGAAAGTAAACAAACGCTCATTCATCTTTTCATAACGAACGACAGTCGGAGTACACCTCCCGTAGGTCGTAGCTGAAGCAAGAAGCAAGCTAACATTAGATGGCCAATTCTGAGCTAAACATGTTTACTCACCACAGGTTAACCTATTTGCGTTCAGAACTTCTTTGTTTGGGTCTTGTTGTATGAAGTTTGCTGCCTTATAGGTTATAGGTAACGGAGTGAGGGAATAACAGCACGCTCATCAGAAGTTTCCTAAAAAATAAACATTGTTCACGAGTCCCGCACCTCTAGTCCGAGTCAAGTCTGAAGTCTTTTGAGGACGAGTCTCAAGTCGAGTCTGAAGTCACTGTGTGTGCGACTTAAGTCACACTTGAGTCCGAGTCTCTAACTCGAGTCCCCATCTCTGCTCGACACTAGAGGCTTAGTAACGGCTAGTTAGATTTTAACAAAAACAGTAACCAAAATTGGATGCACCATGGTTAACGTTGGGTATGGACTAAATGGAGTTCCAAAGTCTTTGAACATCTACAGATAGTCTTCAAAATGCATGCAAAATAGAGTAAATTTGAACCTAGACAAATTTTCAACTGCAAATCACCACAATCTTTATCAATGGGTTGGACTGGGACTTTACATTCACAGGTATTTGAGTAAACTGTCTTATCTGTTTGATTAATAATTTCGAAGACAAAACGGAGGTTTGTATTTGGACCCAGCCGGATTTGTGACTCCACTCCCGTAAACCTTGGTTCCCTGCAGCAATACGTAAAGCCAGTAGTCACCAATTTAGGCATCAAAATTGACAGTGATTTTAAACTTGACAAGCAGATAAACACTGTGGTTAAATCCAGGTTCTGTCATTTGAGGCTTTTATCTAAAATTAAACCTGTTTTATCTTTTGATCTTCTTGAGCATGTGATTCGTGCTTTTATCTCGACCCGTTTGGACTACTGTAATGCACTTTACATCGGTGTGAACCAAACCTCCCTCTCACAGCTGCAGTTAGTCCAGAATGCAGCTGCATGTCTTTTTTATCACAGTAACCCAGAAACACGAACACATTACCCCCATTCTGGGGGCGATCGCTCTTTTTCACCAGTTGCCCCCAAACTGTGGAATGACTTACCTCCTCACATTAAAGTGGCGCCCAACCTCCACACCTTTAAATCTCGTTTAAAAACATATTTTTATTCCCTGGCTTTTAATTCACCGTGAGAACTGCTGTGGTCTTCATTGTCGTTGTCAGTGTTGGTGTTATTTGTTTTGTTTTTAATTATCATGAGCATATTTTATTTCATCTCTGTAAAGCACTTTGGTAACCTTGTTTTTTATTTTAATTGTGCTATATAAATAAAGTGGATTGGATTGGAGCTAAATAAATCCAATGCAACATACAGAAGGATATCAGCAATTTATTAAACAATGGATGTGCTTCACTGAATCAAATGTAATAGTGTACTGTGTTAGTATGAATTCATATTTCTAGCGCCACTGGAGACTTTGCTTTTTATTTACTCATTGCCGTGGTGAATTGTTTTTTTCATTCCCCACGTACTATCTCAGTGAACACACTCAGGGTTGATTGAACTAGTTTTGATCAGCTGTTTAAGAACTGAAAACTCAGTTTCACATCTCAGGCTCAATCAACTCAGAGCTCCTGCCTCATCATCTCTCCTTTGCTTCCTAGTGTTTTCTTTGTGACTAACCTTTTGTTTCTTGTACCTCAGGATCACCGCCTGCTCCTCTGCCTCACGTTTGCCTTCTGCGGGACAGCCCCCATTCGCCACTGCCCACATCATCTCGTCTGACATTATTCACAAAGTTCCTTCAGATGCCTTCAGATCTCCAACCCTAGTCATCTTTCGTTCATCTAATGCCCCTACACCATCACAATACATTGGGCACAATGCATCATTTTTCACCTACTACCTCTATGATCCAAAAGAGGTGATAAAGCAGCAAAACTCCTCCACCTGCACCTCCACAATTTTTTTTCAAAGAACCCCTTAGACCCACCTGTGATAAGCAACTACAGACCAGTCTCCAATATCCTTTTTCCTAGTAAAATATTTGAAAAGGATGTCTACAAACAACTGCATAATTACCTGTCCCTCCACAATCTATATGATGTGAATCAATCTGGCTTCAGGACCAACCGCAGCACTGAAACAGCTTTGAAGTAGTCAGTGATCAAAAGATCAACAATACTGCAAACAAACCTTCTATCCTAGTATCCTTAGATACTGTCAACCAAAGCATTTTAATCAGTAAACTAGAAAATTAATTTGGGCAATGTGGCCGTGTCTTAAAGGGGCTCTCTTCCTATCTAACTGGCAGGACATTCTCTGTGTGTCTTGACAAATTTTAAACTGGCAATTATGACATTTTCTTTGAGGTCCCACAAGGCTCAGTTTGTATTTCACTTTAACATGATATCCTCAGCCATATTAATGGCCTTGACAACTGTATCAGTGACATCAAGTACTGGATGATCAAAAACTTTTTGCAGTAAAAAAAAAAGGCTGAGATCCTGTTGGAGAAAACCATATTACTATTATGACCTTACTGCTGTTTACATTCTCCCTGACACAAATTTTAAAAATGCACTGGACAATTACTTCCTCGGTGTATATGTGTATGTATATTTGTAAAGTAATAACTGTATAGGCCATGTTGTATGTTACCATATTCAAATGTATATCTAACTATCTTTTATGTTCTGTGTATGTAGCATAAGGAGACTACAAACTTTCCTGCCCTATGGAATAAAGTTCCTGAGTTTTGTCTCCATGTGATGAGTCCAGGTTTTGTCAACAGTGCCAGTTCAGATCAATGTAAATGGGGGAAGAACAGGGCTGTGTTAAATACAAAATGTTGCTTCTATTAGGAATGTGGTTTTGTGTTCATGTTTCCATTTTAAGTCCGTTTTTGGATCTGTGTTCCTCTGTGTAGTCTTGTTTAGTTAGTTCTTAGTCCTGTGCTTTAGTTCATGTTTAAGTGTTTTCCTGATCTGTGTACTTCTGTGTTTTATCATAATGGTCTGTATCCTAGTCCTTAGTCTTATATTTCCATGTTTTAGTGTAGTCTTGTCTCCTGTTGGGTCCTGTCTCTGTCCGTGCCCTGATTTTGCTGACTTTCCATGTTTTGGTGTCTTACTTTGGTAGATCTGTCCTTGTGTGTTCCTGTGAACTTTACTTCCTGTTTTATTTTGGTAACCCTCTGTACCTGGTGTCCTTGTCTAGCTTTGTTTGATTACCTGATGTATCTCACCTGTGTTGCTCCCGCCCCGCTCATTAGTCCCTGTGTATATGTATGCCTGCTTGTATCTCCAGTCTTGGTCACGTCTGTGTGTCTTGTTGAGTGTTCTGCCTTGTGCTCTGTTTTCCCTGTTCTGAATTACCTTTGTTTAGACTTTGTCTTGAGCTCCATGTAAGCCTGTTTCAGTTTAGTTTTTTGAATTAATAAATCACCATAAACTGCATCCTCTCTCCTTGCATGATAGTTATGCTTGTCTGCATCTGGGTCCTCACCCCAATCTGCACTCAACCAACCCATGACAGCTTCTTAAACTGCAAAACTTGGAAATTAGAGTGTCATGGCTCAGAAGGTAAATATTCATATCTTACAAATAGTTTTTAAAAGACTTGTTTTTAGGATGAAAAAATGATGTCAAATAAACATGTGCAGGTCAGGCCTTGTGAGGTGACATCGCTGTCTCTTTCTGTCATTACCTGGTGTAGGAAGCTTCTATACATAATTGAAGAATACTGATTTTGTCATGTATACTAGTTAAAATAAGACAGCACTAAAGGAAATTCAGGTGCAACAGCAGCAATTATATATGGTGAAAATAAAAGACAAGCAGCTTCTCCCGTCAGACTGCACCTCTGTGCTATTTAATGCATAATATAATGAGCAAAATAAAACACGGTAATTATAGATCACATAGAAACTTTGCAAGATAAAATACAAGCCTTTCAATGAAGAGTAAATTATGTCTAAGTGAGAGAAAATGTACTGAGTGGATCCAGAGGTTACTGAATCAGCTGTAGCTGTAATTTCCAACTTGTGGTGTAAGCCAGTGGACTGGGACTCTGCTACAGATGGCTTATCCAAAGCTGTGACACCAAGTGGTCCTTCATGTCCAGGTGAAACATCTTTGTCTGCAGGGGGAGGACAAGTCAGTGGGGAAAAACAGTGGAGCTTGCGTTAACCTCAAACACCTCTAGTGTAGACTTTAGGCCTTAATAAGCAGCTGAGCGGGAGCCAGGAGACTGAGCATGGGGCAATAACAAACACAGGGACAGACGGGAACACTCGAAACACAGTGAAATGAAAGAACAAAAGGAGACACTATAGGAAAACACTGATGACAATCGCATTAATCACCATTTACTCCCTGGTCAAATGACATTGGCAGTGATGCAGGAAGTGTCCTCTGTTTCTGATTAGCGGATGTCAATCAGGCCTCAACGTTACATCCATATGTGTGGAGTAATAATACCATACTAGGTCTGCCGGCTGAGACTTTATAGCTGCGCTGTTATGTTTTTCAGAGCACACAAACACTGTAAACACACACCTGTCACCTGCCCAGCATGGTGCTATTACCCAGAAACACAGCTTCTACACCTTATCTTTACAGTTTATACACACAACACTCAGGGTTAATAGCCACATTTAAAACATGCATGTACCAACAGTAACGTAACTCATGCATGTCAGTAACAGTTAGCCTAATATAGCTAACTTGGTAATGTTATTATATCTTACCTGCTGTACTGTCCGCTGCTTTCTTGTCAGATGGATAGCATTCCTTTCACTGTTGACTTTGTGTGTGAGGCCACATGGACAGAAATGCTGTACACTTTTAGTTATGGTATTATAAATCATAGTCCTCTCTCCAGCCCTGCTCACTTCCTCTGCTTGCTTTCATGGCAGTGTGCTGGCAGTCAGAGCTCCCCCTGCAGTCCATAAAGTGCCTCTGCGCCTCAGCCCTTCCAAACCCTCCCTGCAGCCTTTGGGCCACGCCTCCTCATTTGCATACACGACTCAATTCTCAATCCCCAATCCTATATAGCTAAATGACTAAATCCCCAATCCTAAATACCAAATCCCCAATCCTAAATGACTAAATGACCAAATTCATTTTCGACTTCAACTTTTAGTTTTGGATTTTGACTTTCAGTTTTAGTTCTGACCAAATAATCCCTCCATAGTAATCAGCTGGTCCGCTTGTTTTGGAGAGCAGGAGACCGACTTCGTCTCCTTGTAGAAACTTCCTGACTGATGACCGATGATTGATCTCAGGCGGACAGCGGCGAGACATGTGTGCTATTGTGATTTATTGGTTTGCAAACAATGGTGGAAAAGAGAGGAGCAGTAGCAGACAGACACCCGACATTCTAGTTGGTAGTTGTTCATGTCCCAGCTTGAAACCCTAAGGTTTCTTTGAGGAGTGGAGGCGTAAATGCAGCGTTTTGTTGGGATTTCTGAAGCGGTAGGCCTAGCGGGGAAAAAAAAATTAATAAAAGATTTCCCCCCCACAAATTATTGTGAAAGGTGTTTTAAGACACAATTGGGCCTATTTAAATATTTCACCAGCCAACCTAAATCCACTTTCCTATCCCACTTAGTTTCTTAAAAGTGTTTAGAGAAGAGCCTGACTGGTTTGGAGTCCTATGAGTAGGGGCGCGCGCACACACACACACACATACACAAAGAGGGTCATGCAGATCTGCCAATGTTCCAAAGGGGGTCTTACCAGGGTGAAGGGCGTATTGAGGACTGTGATGAAGATATCAGCCACGGCGAGGTTCATAATAAACAAGCTGGTGGCGGACTGGGTGCGCTTGTTTTTCACCACCACATGGCACACCAGGGTGTTCCCGAACAGGGAGATCACGATGATTAAAGAGTATGCGGCCACCAGCAGCGCCTTCACGCTCCCGTCCTGCGACTCCCCACCCTGGCGCTTCTTACTGGCCAGAGAGCGCCAGTCCTCCAGCATCCCCTCGTCAAGGTCCAGGAGGAAAAAGCCAGAAGTCCGGTTATCCAGCTGCCCCGAAACGTTAAGTAAATGCTCCGTGTAAGAAAATATTCTCTCTTCCAGAAGTGAAGAGTCGTTGACTCGGTGTCCCGCTGAAGCTGCAGCTGCTGCTGCCCTGTCAGGGCTGCACACCCACAGCACCACAGATAAACAAACACACACAGCTCTCATTGTGGCAGTGTTTTCTTTTTTTCCTTTTCCAATTCTCTTTGGAGAATCTGCGCGACTTTCAGATGGACACCTGCTCCGTCCCTCCTGTCACTGAAGTGATGTTGAGATGCTGAAGCATGAGCAACAAGTTGCGTGACGTGCGTGTCTGTGCGTGTGATAGACTGAAAGAGAGAGAGATCCAATTATGGTAGTAGCCTGAAGATCGGTTGTAAGTAACCCCATGACTAATTGAAGCCATAAAATTCTCAAATAGAAATTCTCTCTCTCTCTCTCTCTCTCTCTCTCTCTCTCTCTCTCTCTCTCTCTCTCTCTCTCTCTCTCTCTCTCTCTCTCTCTCTCTCTCTCTCACACACACACACATTATTGACTCGCGCTCCTAAAACTTAATCCAGCTCTGTCTGCCAGGCTTTGATGTTTGCCTGTGAAGTGGCTGTTTTAAAAGTCAGATACACCTCCATCCCATGAGAATCTGCGACAGTGCGTTAGATTGAGCCGCTGGCTGGTTTTGTAGTCAAACAAACCAAATGACTTCCTTGACTGGCATAGCCTATTTGTTCAGAACAAAACACGCAGGCATTTGTGTTTGGATGTAGCCTACTTGTGAGAGCTCAGACAGACAGATTTTTTTCCACGTTTCCCTCCAGTCTTGGTTGTACATGTCTCTGTCTTGATTCATAGCCGCCCAAGGCAAGGATTCATTAACCCTCAGGCATTTTATTATGTAAATGCAGTATACATCCAGTTTAGAGGCTAATGTAAGGATTGTCCATACTCAGGGCTTCTTCTTGTAGAGGACCCTGAGATAAAGTCTAGTTTTAGGGGCCATAATAATTTCACTTTATGTTGTGTGTAGCCTACATGGTGTACAGTAGATTCAATTTCTGGTCAACCAGATAATAATTTCATGCAGAAATTGGGTGGGTAGGGATCACTCTTCATTTTTGTACCAGGGTCCAGGGTAGTAAATAAAGGCCAGCAAAGCGCGTTCATGTGAACGTGCACAAGCATGATGCGCGTAACAGCTGTGCACGTGAATACATTTTTGATTAATAAAAAAATGTATTAATCTAAAGCTAATTAATCAAAAATTAATTAAAAATTATATAAAAATGAATTTTAAAAAAAAGATTGGGGTCATAGCAAGGTTGAACAACAAAGACATGGGGGTGTGAAAACGGGTGTGTGTATCCGTCCGGCCTTATCCTCTATTAGCGGGGGTGGGGGTCGATCACCAAAAGGTGAAGATGGGTGTGAAAAGGGGGGTTTGTGTATATGGGATGTCCGGTGTTATCCTCTAAAAGCGGATGTTTGAGAGTGGCTTTAGCAATCGGTTGTATATATAGCGGGCTAGTTTTTTGACTTACATCTGACCGAGAGCGTGGAACAGTGTGACTGAACGATTTTTTGGTTGAATCCGTATCGGACAGAGCTATCTTCGTGCAGAACAACAGCGCCATCTTTGCAGCATCACAATCATGTACGTCACAGGTAATCAATTGGGAAGACTCCCCCAACAACATTGGCTGATTTTCTGGACCGAAAGGCATGGGCGCCTCAGTTTGAATGGGCGGTGGAAGATTTTAGAATGTCGGGATTCTTGTTTGAGCACGGATCAGTTCACCTTTATACAAGAGAGCTTGATGAAATTTTTCTTTGTGAAAGCACACTGCACATTAGTTTTTCAGCCAAACACTGGAATTACTTCAGAAACAAAGTCTGTAAATGACACACAATGGTGCGGGTCTGTGCCTGGAGAGCTCTACCGTGTAGAGACAGACCTTGAAGTCTACGACCCAGAATCCTACATCTTTTTTAGATCGTGCAAGAACGATTCTATCAGTCAAAAGGCAAGGATGGGAACCCCAGAGCAACAAAAAGGCTACCCCATCAAGTCTAAAGAGGGGGAGACGTGGTTCAGCACCGGCTTTGTGGTCCAATGGGATAGAACCCTTGAAATCTTCTCACACATTGATAAATTATTCAGATGGTATAAACCTTATGTTAGCTATGTAGGGATCAAAAGAAAACTTTTTGGTCCTGAGGACAAGCAAGATGAACAACAAACAACACCGCAGACAACCTCAAAGACCTCCACGACGGGGCTGACAGTGACATTGTTCTAATTAAAATGTTTTGTGCAGGTATGAGGACATGTGCAGCGGGTGAGGATCTATCGAGCAGCCCTAAATATTTTCCATTACTACAGGATGATGATAACTCATGGGTGGATGACTATGGCAAAAAACAGGGGAAAAGAAATTTAACATTTCTCGTTCCTGAAGAAAAAGCAGAAGAGGACAAGAGCAGGGTCAAGCCATTTAAGGGTGCCTGTTTGGACGCTCTAGACTGTTGTGACAAGAACGCATCTCCTAACACTTCTACTAGCAGTATTATACAGGTAACCGTAGCTTATTACTTATACGATATACTGCAGCAAAAAGCTATACAAACGTGTGTATTGTGCATATACAGACAAATGGAGCAGAAAACAACCTCACACATGCACTGACACATTACCCATCTTTTATATCAAAGGACATAAGAGAGAAATTATGCAGAAGCTTTTTAACAAAAACTTCGCTGATGCTCAAAAGTACGTCCTACGTGGTCTTGGGTTGGTGCCAACATGTGAATGCAGTATTCGAGACATTGCAGCAGCTGCTCTACAGATTTGGCTGAGGAACCCTTTTCTCATTGCTTCGCTTAAACGGGTAGTGAAACACGGATGGGATGAATGAAACACAACGACATACATTTAAATAGTTTAAGTTATTCTTGTTTTTATATAGAAAGCTTGAGACTGCCCTTCTTAATACGTAATTGCAAACTCATTATGTCCTTTTTCTTAACAAAAAATAGTGTAAATACAACTTAGGTAGCTAACTAGTAAATCTAACAGCTAATGCACATTTGGATCAGATATCGGCTGCCCTTTTTATGTACATCTGCAGCCTGTTTTCCTGGTCTACTGTGAAGATCCTGTTATTTGGCTGTGAGCATCCTGGTGGTCCAGCCTGCAGCCTAGTGGACTCTGCCCCCCTCCCGCCGTATCTAAATAAGGTAGAATGGCTGCGTGTCGGGACGAATGAAACACCTGTTTCAATCGTCCCGACAGTGACTCTTGACGTTTAAACTTCACTAGCTTCTAAACTGTAAAACGTTGACATTTAAAACTTCAGGATGTGTTAAAGTACTAACTAATCTTTTATGTGATCACGACCATGGCACATGGAACAATAAACACAACTCGTCATTCAAAAAAAAAGATTGCTTAAGTGAATTTACTTTCCGTGATTGAAAACAGCTTCTTTCATATAACTCCGTGAAAGTGTGACGTATCCACCTGATTGTTCCTTGTTCTCTTAAGTACTGTGGACTGTATGTGCTGAGGTAGTTTGGCATATCAGACTTAAATGGGCTCCGAGAAAATCGCTGTGTTTCATTTGTCCCACGTTTCAATTGTCCCGGCTCTCCCCTACTATGCGACAGAAAATGCAGGGGCTTACGGAGGCAAGCAAAAACTTAAAAAGGCCATATTTGACACTACTGGAGTTCGGTACGCAGATTCAGACGTAAAAAACTGGCTCATGAAGCAAGATGCCTATACTGAAACAAGGTTTTAGTGAATTCAATAGACTGGCGATTCCAGCTAGATCTAATCGACATGTCCGCTTATTCTACTGAAAATGATGGAGTACGCTATTTATTAACGTGTATAGATTTGTTTTCAAAATACGCATGGGTGCGTTGTTTAAAAAATAAGAGTGGTAAATGCGTCACAGAATCCTTTAAAGATATCTTAGCTGAAGGTAGAATACCACATAAAATTCAAACAGACGAGGGAAAAGAGTTCTTAAACAAAGATTTCGATGAGTTAATGAAAATTAATAGTATCGTACACTTTACGCGCTTTAACAGGACTCTGAAATCTAAAACGTGGCGTTATTTAACAGCCAATAATTCTAAACGATACGTAGATATATTGCAGGATTTAGTCACCTCCTACAATCATAGTTATCATCGTAGTATTAAAATTAAACCGATTGATGTAACAAAAGACAATGAAGACATCTTATTTAACAACTTGTGTAAAACAAAAGATAAAAGAGTAATTCATTTTAAATATGAGGTGTAACTCATATACTGTAAGAATTTCAAAACTACGTGACCCTTTTAAAAAGGTTATGAGCAAAATTATACTTATGAATATTTCACTGTAAAGGAATGTGTGTTGAGGGACCCACCCGTTTACAGGTTAAGATAGAAATACAATATCCAGAAACATGGAAATCTTTTTCATCAGAAGACTCAAAATTTGTTGTGTTTGATAAAAAATCCAACAAGACTGTAGTTCTATCAGCGACACAGGGGTTCTATACAACAATGTCACAGATAATAGCTTAACTATTGTTTATCTGAAAACGACATGGGTCACATTGAGCTTGATTACAACAACATTACCAACAGAGTAAGCATTTAACCAACGAGAGACGTAGAATTAAAGTTTCAAGAAAAACTAGCACAAATGTTGGGATTTATCCCCGGAGCGGCTTTTAAAACTCACGAGGGAATTGCAACATTTAGATCTCAGCCACATATTTGTTTATACCGATGTTGTTGATCATCAAACGGTCCCTCTTTTAAGAATAGTACATATATCGGGGCCAAACAATCATATGATCACAAATACTTATGACAGACCACACTATCTGAGGCTCTGCAAAACACAAATTGATAGTATCGAGATTTCTCTCAAGACAGATCAGAATCAACATATCCCTTTTACGTACGGCAAAGTGATAATAAAGCTACACTTTAGACCCGTAAAATATCAGTATTAGACAAGGAGCAAACATGTACCATCCATATGCTCACAATGCGGATAAGTACGTTGCATATTATACAGCCCAAGCGGGTGGTGATTTACCAGGATACAGTGGGCTCGGTGCTCAGTATGGTGCAGAATTAGGGGGTATCTTTAGGGGTCTGTTTAGATTAGCATTCCCCTTATTCAAGAAAGGATTTACATTTGTTGCCCCTCATTTAAAGACAGCCGCTAAAATATAGCTACGGATGTCATTACTAACGTCATGAACAGACGTCAAGAGGAGTCGGGTT